AAATTACACATAAGGTAACATAGCAGGCAATTATTTAATGTTGCCTGTAATTCATTGAATTTCAGTTTACATTTGTTTTATGGTTTATTCATTTTTTTCCAGTTTAAAAGACTGTTATTGTTATTTATGATTATTTTGTTTATTTCAAAAACCCTTGCACCAAATAATGTATTTTAGGGGGAACGAGTTTGTCAGGAATTTCAAATGTAGCATTTTAATCTTATTGCCTCAATTGTAACACTTCTGGTCAAGCCATATTCTTTTTTGAAGTACCAGGGTAAAGGCTATAGCCAAGGTGTATATATTCTCAGATTTATTCTATTAGGTTTTTTTTTTTTTCCCATAAAGAAAGTTGACAACAAATACTATAAGTCCAGTATTTTTTTATACTCTATTCGGTTCCCAGTAGTAAACAGGGCATGTTCCACAGTGACTTGGACCAGCAATGGCTTAGTCACCAAGGAAAGTACACATGGCTTCCTACAGTTTCCTAATAACATTGCCTTTTATAGTTCAAGTCTAAGTGAGGAACTGCCTTTGTAGTATATTTTTATAAAAGTCACCATTGTAAAGTCACTATACGCTAGAATCCTGTATATCCAAAATTTTCAAAGTCACCTGTAATAAAAGCCTGAGCTAATACAGTATATAAGATGGATGTTAGTACATCCGTCTTATATGAGAGCTATATTTTATTAGTTAAAATTGAAGTTCAATCTAATTTTGTCATCGGTAGAATTAAATCTTGTACTTTAAAAGAAATATACACATCATAAAAATAGGACTACTCAACCCTTGATCACACAAGCTATTCAGAAAATACAATATGTCTTTGATATGACTGAATAACATTTTACTTACATATTAATTTGTTTGCAGTTTGTCACAGAATTAAACTTTTTGTGCTTCTCTTAAAGGTGTTGTAGCTCAAGCACGATCAGTTCTTGCCTGGCACAGTCGATATAAGTTCTGCCCAACCTGTGGAAGTGCAACTAAAATTGAAGAAGGTGGCTATAAAAGAGTGTGCTTAAGAGAACACTGTCCTAGCCTCCAAGGCGTTCACAATACATCCTACCCGAGAGTGGGTAAGC